GGAAGAAGTGCAGCCAGAGTGCTCCTTGGAGGCCAGGATGTCCAGACTTTGTCTCTCATACTTCGGACATATTGTCAGGAGGGACCAGTTGCTAGAGAAAGATATCATGTTTGGTAAGGTGAAGGGTCAAAGAATAAGAGAAAGACCCCCAGTGAGATAGAATGACAACATGTCAGCATCAATGGGCTCAAGCGTGGCAACAATCGTGAGGTTGGCTCAGGATTGAGCAATGTTTTGTTCTGTTGTGCATAGGGTTGCTATGAGTTGGTACTGACTCAATGGCACCTAATAACAAACAACAACAACAAAGAGGAAATTGGAAGTATCAACTTTCATGAAGTCTCAAACTTATTGGACCAAGATAATCTGCCTGTATCAGCCAATTAGAAAATAAAATCCATTATTTAGTCTTTATCCTTGTACATACACGGAGTATAACATTTAATGAAAAATTACCAGCAATTCAGGAAACGGACTGAATGACAGAATGACATGAGAAAAAGCAGAAAACAGAAACAGATCCCTCTCCTGATGCTCCAGATTTTGGAATTAATCAATATGTGTTTTTACAGAAGTCTAATTGGGACCCCTGGCAAGATGGCTGACTAAGCAGATACACTATGGGGACCCTCTACAACAACAGCACAAGACACCATATGAATCAGATAAGGATGATAATCGTGGAAAACAGCTTTAGAGGAAAGGATAGAAAAGTGGACTTAATACAGGCTGTGTGAGGAATATGAGCAAGAGAGATGAGAGAGGAGACAGACAGAGTAGGCCCTGACAGAGCATGGCCATCCTGAATGTGGCAAGCAGCATTAGACCAGGACAGTGGTCTGCCATCATATGCACACTGGTGACTGTCAGTATGAAAGGAGTGATTTCCCACACTCTCCTGGTGACCACCTTCACCTACACAGTAGCTGGTAACAATTCTCTCTGCATAGCTCTTGCTCTCCCTGAGGTGGGAATCACATGCTAAAAATCAGGCTCCTAGTAGGGCCTTCTGGTCCCCACATCTAGAGGTAAGTAAACTACATCTCATCAGACCACCAGAACACAAGCAAGCAAGAATGCTTTCCATAGCCAGCCACCCTGCTCCCAGCTGCCCTGATACCTAAAATATTTCCTTTTGGGAAGAAGCACCTTGGTCTCAGCCACAGTCTGAACAGCACACACTATTTCCAGATCAGGTGTCCTGACCCCAGATACCACTTAGTCCAGCATCCTCCCCACCCCCATGGACTCCTGGGCCAGCAGAGGGCACCAACACACACTGGAACCCCCAGCAACCCCTACAGTTTTTTTCTCTGGCCCCATCCCAGTTTCCTCCTTTTTGTTGTTCTTTTTAATCTATTCTTTTCCTCATGTATTACCCTCTCTTCTTTCGTTTTTTTATCATTTGTTTTTCTTCTCTTCTTTTTTTCCCATTCTTTCCTTCCTTTCTTTTTCTTCTCTTAATTTTTTCTTTACTATTCCCTTTCCTCATTCTGTTTTCTATTCCCCTCCTCTTTTGCTGTTTATTGTGTTCTTAAATTATTTTATTTTTCTCTTCCCTCATTTCTATTTTCCTTTCTAGTCATTGAATTCATTTTTCTTGCCCCTGCTTTTTTTTTTTCCTCTCTCTCCTTTGTTATTTTCTTTTGTTCTGTTTTTTCATTTTTTTTTTTTCTTTTTCTTTTTTTACTTCTTGTCTCACTGAATGGAAGACAAAAACCAATTGTGGTCATATGACTCAGTCATACCCATACTTCCTGCAGTCCCACCCACTAGGTGAGGGACACTGCTAGTTCTTGTCCCAAGTGATCAATGATAGACAACATCCAACACCAGCTAAACCCACCCTGAACTGTGTGACACAAACAATGAACTGATACATACTTCTATTCTCTATCACACACCCATCAGAAGACAGGTGGTGAGTGCCTAACAACAGAACATACAATTATTCATTCAATACAATGACACCACAATGTCTTGATGATAACAGAAAACTTCACACAACGAAACAAAACAGCATGGCTCAAATAAGTGACCAAAATACAGAGCTAGAAAGCATTTCTGAAGAAGAAAATGGTATTGGAATTATCTCATAAGGAATTCAAAAGAATGGTACTTAGGTATCTTCAATGGATTGAGAAAATGATCAATATAGCTACAGATGAAATCAAGGAAAACACAAAAAACATTGGGAAAGTTAAGAAAAACACTACAAGAGCAAACTGACAAAATAAATGGAAAATTAAATACCATACAAAAACAACTAATTGAAAACAGAGATTAATACTAAGATTTCAGAAGTAAATAGTACATTGAAAGGGCAAAGGAGTAGAACTGAATCAGTGAAAGGCTAAATTAGTGAGCTGGAAGACAAATCTCTCAATAATCTCTTAATATTGATCTGTTAGAGGAACAAACAGAAAAAAAGATCACCAACAACAACAGTAGCAAGAAGAAAACCTAGGAATTATGTGGGACGTGATCAAGAGGAATAACTTATGTATGACTGGAATTTCAGAACAGGATGAGACAACAACCAAAAAAAAAAAAGCACAAAGAAAAACTTTCAAGAGTTGTTTGAAGAAAATTTACCTAATATCACGAAAAATTGTCTTTCAAGAAGCTGAACAAACCCCAAAATGATAGGCCTCAAAAGAAAATCAACAAGACCTATCATAGTCAAACTTTCTAAAACCTATGAAAAGGAAAGAATCTTGAGCAGCTTGGAACAAACAAAGTTACCTAGAAAGGAGAGTCAATAAGATTAAGTTCTTATTTTTCATCAGAAACCATGCAGGCAAGAAGGCAATGGGATGACATATATTACACAACTCTGAAAGGAAAAAATAACTGCCAACCAAGAATTATATACTCGGCTAAATTGTCCCTTATATATGATGATGGGATTAGGACAGATAAACAGATTTAAAAGAATTTGTAAAAATCAAACCAACTTTACAAGAAATATTAAAGGAAATTCTTTG